AGAGAATCGCAGAACAAGGACGATGAAACGCCAGGAGACAGAAGCCCACATAGCTACATACGAGTGATATGTGGTGCTGGATTGAAATTCAGACATAAACCGTGATTCCGGGGTTGGTGTTCACCGTGGAGGTATTTATAACTGAATGTTTATGGAAAACATAGGCTTGAACATAGCGAGTATTTACGGGCTTCGTAGCGGGACTGAATAGCAAGACGAGTACGCTATATAGCAGCACGCTGCACGCATCTGCAACCGCTGCCTTCATCACTGTTTTGCATTCCGAGAGCCCAAGATCCAGCACAACCCAGCACAGCATCGCGCCACGGTATTGAAGCGCCGTCTCGGTTCCGTCATGCGCATTTCCGATGTCTTGTCATTGAACACTTCACAAAATTCCTTTGATTGACGGAACCAACTAGTAGTGTCCAGCGGCCATAAATGGTACGGGTTACTCACAAAATACCCCCGAAAAGAAAAACAATCACAGAATGACCCCGGAAAATTCACACATTAACCCAGGAGCACCTCCGGACTATCCGTCCGTCTATCCGTCCCAGCCACACCGCCGTCCGCCGTGGGCCCGCCGTCGGAAAGGCGGGTGATCAGACCCTGGCCCAGAACTTAGTTGGCCGGAGCTTGCCAAACAGAGTTTCCACATTTTAAGTACGCGGTCTGACCTTCTGAGGTCTGTTCACGAGGGTTACGCAGATTCATGTTAAAGACAAATCAAATTCATAAGGAGTCAATCTATATTCTACTATTTAACGGTCACACTTGCCGGACCTGTGTGGTCTGCATCTCCATCTCAAGATGCGATGACAGACCTGGCTCGCTTCCGCTACCTCCTATGTAAAATATAGTATCGTGAGTCTCCACTAGCTGTTGCCGACCACGATCTGGTGGATCTGTTCTTGGGGATCCCAAGTACGACATGTGAAATTAATTACGTCTCGTTTGCTGCTTGTGGTCTGGTCATGGTAAAGTTGCTTGAAGACTGAAGTTTAGACTCGGTGTGGTGGTAGGTATTCGGGAATCAGGGACAGTTCATGAGTTGTAACTGGAGAGAGTGCCACGGACGCGTAGAGTTGGTCATTAAAGCTGAGACATTTCTAACTACATTTTGTGGTCTTGGACTCCTGGTGGTGGTCTGACCACTCGCCATCATTTAAACAACGGGCCCACTGCGGGCCCACCTGGGGCGCAGTGTGGCTGGGACGGATAGAGGGACGAATAGTCCGGAGGTGCTCCTCATTAACCCTGACCGGATTTATTTCACAAAATGGCCCCATCATTTGTAAACAACATCAAATCCTTCTACCGCCCAACCCCGGTCCCATTTTCCTTTTTGTTCGATGAACTTCTGCAAGTATGCATAGACAAGGTCGTTGCAGTTCACTCCAGAAGATCTCATGTGATCCGGTACGCCCTTTCCAATCCATCTTGTGTCAACACCCTTGTGACCAGTCATCATCCTGAGAAGCTTGCGACCTAGCTCCAATCCACCGCCCAGGGAAGTTAGTCGAAGCTTCCCGGGATCAGTCGCATAGTCAGGATCAATCATGACTACAGTTCTGTTCTTTAGAGGGAAAGTAAGCTATGCCAGGCAGGGTGGCCGTCTTTCGAGACCTGCCACATGCAACCGGACATCCATAAGATTGTTCCGGTATTGCGGATGTGGGAAAATGCTGTAGTTAGAGTATGACATTGTTCCAGGTCCTTGTTGTGGGCTTCAACATATTCCTTTGGAACGCCGCCTGCGATCTGAGCTCTGAGATGATAAGCTGTGTAGCTTATTCTGCCTGTAGCAGACGGTGATGCAGGTGTAAGCACGAAGTAGTCACTTATGCGGGATAGAGCAATTGAAAACTTGATGCATTCTACACTGCATTGAAATACAGAGCAATTTTCGAGTATCGCGGAGTGGACTCTGAAGTGTGGTTTGCTGACAGTCCCCAAAAACTCCAAATATGACGCTCTCACTCGAATGTTACCAAGTGGTTCGTAGTATCAGTCGAAGAGGGGTTTGAAGCTAAACTGGTCGCAGGGCGAGAGAACCAGTGATATTGTGTGAGGACAGCCATGTTGCGTTCGATTGAGGTAAGCAGGCACATATGAGCGAGGTCATTCTAGGTATTCTTCGGTCGTACAAGCAATAAGAGTTCCCGGCCTGCGGCGTTTCAGCGAGCAAACATTATGAGTATTCAATCGAGTAAACCGAGAAGAACGCCTGAAGAGCTGGGTCACCGTTTCAAAATTAATAGAAAAGTAATTTTTAGATGCCGTACTGACTGTAAAGTGAGCCGTAGGCCTGAGAACCCTTAATCAGAGATACTTCGATGTCCCGTGTTAATGCCACAGAGCTGGAGCGCAGGTTCCCTTCCAGTGCTAAGCACAGAAGCAGTGGGAAGTTTCCGTACCCACTAATATTTGCGAGAAAGCCGTGTATTTTGACTCATAAACCATTATATTCAGCTTTCTTTCTATAGGCTCTGTTACCTAGACAACGGTGCACCGAAGTGACTCCTATTTGAATATCTCCTTTTGAAAAGAGGTCGGTCTGGACCATTGAAGGAATCCGTGTGAGATCTTGTGTTTCTGCAGTTACACGTAAATCTCCAGAAGACTTAATTCAACACCAGGCGTAGATGAAGTCACCCATGATGTCTAAGCCTCTCTTCATCTCTGATAAGTATCATCTAACGCATTCCCGCCTTCAAACCACGACTATCTCATCAAGCTTCGTAAAGCAACAGTACACCGCTAGTCCCAGAATCTTTGAATACACCGGCTCTCCATGTCCCATACAAGATTCAATCATCCATTCAAATCGAGCCTCGTATCCAATATATACAACTCAGCTGCGCATCCTGCACAACCATCTTACACACCACTATCCACAGCCTCACCCCAGAGTGTTCTTCGTTTCTACATTACAAGGTACGCATCTCTTGTCCAGATCCTCGCGCGTTACAATGGCTTACTCACAGCAGATCCACAACCAACTAACGGCAACAACTAAGCAACGGCTACAACCCAGCAAAGGCTACACCCCAGCAAAGGCCACACCACACAATGGGCGTCCTCCACGTCCTCACCGACAAGGCCCGCGCCGCCAAGTCCGTTATCTCAAGGCGCTGCAGTATCCTCACCCGCCGCCCGGAGAGCGTCATCAAGCCTCCTGCGTCCGAGATTGATATCGGCAGCGGAGTGATCCTGTGCACCACGGCAACGGCGTTCTCAACAGCTACCATCAGCACTATCGCTACAGCCGTCGAGACTACCTCAATGGACCTCGACCCGACTATTACTTGCGGTGTCCTCGTCCAGAGCCGGGAGAGCGTCGTTAAGGAAGATGATGACATCGCCGAGATCATGTCTATCAGCACTACCGCTACTATCGTCGAAACTGCCACCATGGACTACAACCTCAAACTCGAGAGCTGCGGTGAGAGCGCGTACACCTGTGAAAAGTCGATGTCATCCGCCAGCATGTCATCCGCCAGCACAACTACTACTACCGCTACAACAGCGGTCAACCTCTGCGAGATCCAGTGCACCACTGAAAAGTCAATTTCAACCTCCACCATCAGCACGATCTCTACAGCCGTCGAAACTACCACCATGGACCTCGACCTCGAAAGCCTGTCATCGTCCAGCACCACTACAACTGCCACTACAACCCCCATCAGCCTTCACGAAACCCTGGACACGACTGCAAAGGCCACAACCGCCATAGCCCTCGCCCCCCCTCCCACCGCCGCCGACGTCGTCCTCAGCCTTTGCACCCACATATCCTCCTACCTCGAGCTCCACGCGCTGCACGCAACCATCGTCGGGCGGCAGCAAGCACTGGAGCAGGACTGGGACGTGTACACCGAGGAACTGAAGCTGCTACGTGAGCGCACACGCGAGGTTGAGGGCCGCGAGAAGGAAGTGGCGCGCGTTGAGGCGGAGCAGAGGGCGTGCTGGAGGATTATTGGGGAGAAGATGATTGCGTTGCGGTCAGCGGGAGCGTTATGACAAGGATAAATATTTGGGATTGGGATGGGAGATGTTTATGATCGTTTAATACAACTAAGTTTGTTCTTAAGTGTTTTTTGGAGGCGGTTGGGGCGTTGCTTTGGCAGTTGTGGAGCGTTTATGTTGTAGTAGGATGGCTGTTTGGATGGCAGCTATTACGGGCGGTCTACGCGTCATGTCTCGTCACTCGTATAATGGACGTCAACGTGAAAGCTTGCACAAAGACCACCCCCACGACTGCCACCACATCCAAAAACATACTAAGTAAGCCACGACCTGCGTCGCGGCAAAAGTGGAGCAGTAGGGGATCGAACCCTAGACCTTTCGCAGCTCTGACGAGAATGCAAAGCGAACGCGCTACCACTGCGCCACAGCCCCAACCGATAGAGTTTGAGGCGCGGTGTGCGTTTCTATTACTGACCAACGGATGTTGGAGCGGCGGATCAGTGTGCGCTGCTTCGTCTAACTTGTTACTACGCCGATTAGTGCAGCACATCTTCACCGGTGGTCATTCGGTTTTGGATATGTGGGCTTAGTAGGTCTTTGGCTTCTCGTCGCTCTGAAAGTTGAATTCGAATTCCGCTTTTCTTCTCTGTCCTCGTACTTGAGCACATTATCAAAAGACGGTCAGTCTACAGAACCCTACACTGTCCCTTAATATTTTAACAGTGCTGGATTCCCTTCGATTAAACCTCTCAGGAGTCAGTGATAACCAGACTTTCACATAGTTGAATCTTTGACGATGCCTTCTATCGCGCAATTCCGCAGCTTGAGCGCACCACGTAGGTTGGATGCACACCGGGCCTAGGCGAAGCCTGTACGCACCGTAAATTTGAGGACGTACTCGTACTCATATCATCAACGCGTTAGATGTGCTCCACTGTCACGTCCCCCGCGATCAACCCATCACCCATCCACCAACCCGGCAGCATCACACCCATAAAAAACACCACATGCTCGCAGCGCAAGCAAAAGATTGGAGCAGTAGGGGATCGAACCCTAGACCTTTCGCAGCTTTGGATGCTCAAGAGATGAGAATGCAAAGCGAACGCGCTACCACTGCGCCACAGCCCCGAGTGATGGGAGGAATTTGCGCACGGACATTATGACATACCGGGCGGTGGAGATGGAGGGTGGTTTGTGGCGTGTAAGCGGAACTGGGATGCAAGTGTTGATGGTAATGGGAGATAGGAGGAGGAGGCGGGAGGATGCGGAGGGGGAACGGACGTGGATATGATAGTGCAGGTTATAGTAAGTTGCGTGAGTCCGTAAAGGCCCACAAACGGCAACAGGTGAAGAGACACAACGCCATCAGCACATATTGGAGTGCATACGTGCGGCGTCGAGAACGAAAAAGGGACTGGGGAGACAAGACTTCGCTCGCGCTGATGAAACAAGATGAGGAAGTATGGCGGACGTACTTTTACAACTGGACAGCAGGGCGGCGGATGATGTATCAGGGTGCGGTGAATGCAGATTAGCCAGTGCAGCCAGCCTGTAGAAATATGCGTTTCTTCGGCTTCACGAACAAAACTTCGATTCCTATCGGTTCCGTCCATCACGTTCCGTTCCCCCACGTGACGTGCCGCATCCGAGCCGCCCAGCGTCGCACAACCCCCGCCCTGCTGCACCCGTCCACGCGTCCCCGCATCGCGAAAAGCTTGTTCTTTCTGCGTCTCCATTTGAATATTCACCTTCAACGTCTCTTTTTGTCTCCTCTTCCCCATATACCACCACCCCATGTAAACCCACCCCATACGCCATGAACGCCCTCCGCCGCCTCTCTCACGAGCTCTCCCTCCCCACGCTCCTCCACGCCCCACGCGATATCCACCTCCTCCTGCTCACACGCTTCCTGCGCATGTCCGCCTACGGCGCTACCTCCCTAATCCTCGCCGTCTTCCTCACCACCCTTGGGACCAGCGACCTGCGCATCGGTCTATTCATGACACTGACCCTCCTCGGCGACGTCGCGCTCTCCCTGCTGCTAACCCTCTGCGCGGACTCCCTAGGACGGCGCCGGATCCTGCTTCTCGGATCCCTAGCGATGGCATGCAGCGGCGTCGTCTTCGGCACACCATCAAACTACTACATACTCCTCGCCGCGGCAGTGCTCGGCGTCATCAGCCCGAGCGGCAACGAGATCGGCCCGTTCCGCGCCGTCGAGGAGTCGACGCTCGCCGGGCTTGTGGCGGAGGGAGACCGCACGGCCGTGTTTGCGTGGTATGTCTTTGCCGGCACGCTGGGCATGAGTGGCGGCCTTGCGGCGTGCGGGTGGATGGTCGACGCGCTGCAGAGAGGCGGGTGGGAGGAGCAGGCGGCGCTGAGGGCGGGGTTTGGGGCGTACGCGGGCATCGGGATGGTGAAGGCCGGGCTGACGCTGCTGCTGAGCCCTGCGTGCGAGGCCGGCGCTGATGCGGCGGAGGATTCGCACCCGCTAAACTCCCATGCCTCCGCTGCCCCGCCGCCAGCCAAGCCCGGCTTCACCCAGCTCTCCTCTGCCACACGCTGGACGCTCCTCCAGCTCTGCTCACTCTTCGCGATCGACTCGCTCGCCTCAGGCATGGTGCCGTATTCGCTCATCAACTACTACTTGTTCACCAAGTTCCGTCTCGCCGCGTCAACACTCGGCGCCATCGTGGCCACCACCTTCTTCCTCAGCGCACTCAGCAACCTCTCCTCCGCTGCGCTCGCGCGTCGCATCGGGCTCGTGCGCACGATGGTGTACACGCACCTCCCGTCGGCAGTGTTCCTCGCGCTCGTCCCTGCGCCGCGCGGGTTGTGGCCGACGGTCGCGCTGCTGGTCGCGAGGGGCGCGTTGAGTAGCATGGACCAGGCGCCGAGGTCGGCGTTTTTGGCCGCCGTGGTAAAGCCGGGGGAAAGGACGGCGGTGATGGGGGTCGTGAATGTGGTGAAGACGTTGAGCCAGAGTGGCGGGCCGACGGTGACGGGTGTGTTGGCGGGTGAGGGCAGGTTTTGGGCGGCGTTTGTGGCCGCTGGCGCGTTGAAGGCGGGGTATGACCTTGGGTTGTTGGCGGTGTGGGGGAGGGTGAAGGTTGCTGGAGATGCGGGCGCGGAGGGGTATCGGAGGGTTGATGTGGAGGAGGCGGAGGAAGCTGGGGGGTTTAGTCTTGGCAGTGGAGAGGAAGATGAGGGTGAGGACGAGACCGAAGACGAGGATGAGGGCGATCTGGGACACCGGAGCTGATCTATTAGTAATAAAAAAACGTGGGATATTCAGAGGATTTGCACGGCTACACTGGTTATACAGCTATCTTTGCTTCCGTGTATCAGTGTACTTTTGGGCCCGTGAGTAATCTGCTGCTGGTCATACTGCCGTGTCTGGTATGAAGCCCCTGGAGGTGAGTGTGAACCAATGATGAAGCGGCATTCTTGTACGATTTCCTTGGTAGATATCGTATTAAGATATGAAGTAGCATAAGAACCGTCAGTCAAGAAGTAAAGAAGCAGCTCGTGGGAGCTGTCAGAGATAGAGGCAGATGCAGCTTGTAAGAACCACGGTGGTGATGAAGCGATGAAGCAGCGAGGTTTTGTAAGAGCATTCGTCGATGAGGTGTGAGAATCGGGAGGAAAAAGGTTAGCCGAACTGTCATTAACGGAGCGAGAGTGTTGGACTTATAACTGTGTTTTCATCGTGCTGGGTGTACAGTATGTGAGAATAGAAGAGACAAGAAGAGCAAGAGCAGAAACAAGGGCAATGAGATCAAGCCGCACGTGATCAAAACCGAGTGATACCGGAGGCAGAATCGAGAACTGCAACAGATCTCCGCAAACCCCCCCACACAAAACAACGCACTCTCAAAATTCTCCGAGCTTCTCCGAGCGTTACACACCCCCCCTCCCCCCTCTCAATAATAGACCCAGGCCATCTCAATTCCGCAGCATATCAATTGGCACAACACATCCCACAAAGCACCCTCTTCAGCCCCGCCAACAATTCATGCCACGCTGACCGGTTACTCCTCAACTTCGGCATCTCGGTGGACCTCGAATGCGGCGGTTTTCGCATCATTGCCGCTTATGTGTTTAAGAGGGATTGAGACGGAGAAAATAGGGCTCTAGGCATCTCAGCAGAGCACAGAGAACCAGGAAGCCCTGTGCAGTGCTGACTCCAAATGATTTGCGAAGTGCGCAACCGCGAAGGCTGGCGCCGACCAATTGTTCTTTGGTGTTTAGATGCCCGTTGGCATGTTTGGAGGGGCGGATGGAGTGGTAAGAGTTCTTGCTGTGTGGACTGGCGTTAAGTATCGTAAAAATTGCAACGGATAGTATGACTATGAGCACAAGACTTTCTAAATAGTTTCCGCTAGCGACTATGATACGATGAATGAATTCATATGGAATGGTCCCAAAGCAAAAAAATGAGTTCCATCATGGCAAGAGTAATCCTGGAACATGGATGTGACTCAGCATCTCCAATTACATATCTGAAGAGGGAGCAAGCGCACGAGATGACTGGCGAATCTCTAAACACCAAGCTAACATGACAGCAAGACTGAGATGATCGGGGACAAAAAGATGGAGCAGTAGGGGATCGAACCCTAGACCTTTCGCAAGTTCTCATGAATCATGCAAAGCGAACGCGCTACCACTGCGCCACAGCCCCAGTGATGAAAGCTTAAAAATTGCTGGCGAATTCGTTCCGAAAATACAAAAATGTCACAACGAGTTCCACAATGTTTAGTTTGATGATGTTTCATAGCGATGAACTCGAGTCACGCTTGTAGTTTGTGCATGCATATCATACTCGCAATTAGAACACCTCTTAAAGCACTACATCAATTATCAAAGCCCCTCTCACGCCTTCACCCTTATCCTCGCCTGCCCACCCGCACCGCCCATCTCCATCTCCCCCATGGCTCCCGCCGCCATCCTCCCCGTCACGCCCGTCGGCACCGCGGGAACAGTCGTATACGCCGCCTTCCCGCCCATCTCCTCCTCCCGCCCCGCCGTAACCGTAAACGTAAACGTGCTCGCGCCGCCGCCATTCGTGACCGTCGCCGTCGCGGTCATGGTGCTGCTGCACTTCGTCACCGTCTGAACAACCGGCCAGATCGTCTTCGTCAGCGTGAGCTGCGGCTGCGTGAAGCTGATGGTCGTGTCGGCGGTGGTGATGAGCTTGGTTGATATGGAGGTGGTGATTGCGAGCGGGACGGTGACGGTCGCGGTGCCGCCGGGGAGGCCGGGGAGGGTGATGAACTGTGTCCTGGTAATACCTGGTAGGGTGACTGTTGCGCCAGGGACGGTGACGCCGGGGAGTGTTATGGTTGATCCGGGCCGGGTGACAGTGACCCCCGGCAGCCCCGGCAGCGTGATCGTCGACCCAGGTCTCGTGACAGTCACGCCGGGTAGCCCAGGAAGCGTTACAGTCGCGCCGGGCACCGTCACGCCCGGCAGCGTCACCGTCTCAGTCGTAGTCGACACCTCCGCCGCGGGGAGCGTCAGCGTCGTCACCGCAAACACGGTGCGCGTAAGCCCCATGCTCGTAACCGTCAACGTCAGCGCCGCGCCGCCGACGGTCAGCGTGCGCGTCACGCCCGGGATCGCGAGCGTGGTCGGAATGGTCACAGTGCGCGTCGACGGCAGTGCTGGCAGCGTCACAGTCTCCCCGGGTGCGGCCTCGGTGACGGTGACGACGCGGGTGGTGAAAGATGGGTTTATGACGGTTAGTGTTGTCGGGACGCGGGTGGTCATCATCATTGTTGTCGTCGCGGTGCTGGGCTCGGCGGCGGAGACGGTGAGCGTTACGACGGGCCCGGGGACGTGGACGGAGAGGGTGGAGATCTCGGTGGTTTTTAGAACGAGCAGGTATTGGGTCCGCGTGGAGATGGAGGTGATGGTGACGGTGGGGTCCGCGAGGGCCGCCGCCTGGATGGGGCCGCAGAGCGCGGAGGGGAGGAGGAGCAGCGCGGAGGCGAGAGGGAGGATGGAGGTGGGATACATGGTGGGTATGTGCTGCTGTTGCTGTGGGGTGCGGGAAAGATATTTATGTGCGCGCTAGATCTTGTGTTGCGCCATTTCCGGAGATCTTGGGGATGCCGGATTGGGGGTGAAGGCGGCGAAAGGTTGTACATGTGGTGGGAGAGGTAACGTGCTACGGGATGAGGGTGCATTGGGGATGAAGATCGACGCGGGTAAGTGCAGAAGCGAGACCGAGGCGAGCGGTTGGGGACACCGATGGGGTGGGTTGGGAAGCGAAATCTAGATATTGGTAGCTTGTAGTTCCGAGTTCCGAAGATGCGGTCGAGGGTCTAGACCTTTGAAGTCACTAAAATAGGCTGGGAACCTGTACAGAATGACAGAAACGGAAAGTTACAATCGTTTAGTTTGTCTGACAGGAAACGGCCGATATATGTTGTCCTGACCTCTAGGAGCAACTGCCATATATTCGGAAACAATTAATGATGCTTACACAGCTGTCCAGCTATTGATGATCCTGAAAGTTCAACTTCGTCGTTTATATGTAGTTATAGCACTCAAAGTATAGGCAGGTGGGACTACTTGAATATGTTACCGAGCAAATCCGGCACACCACACTAGAAGTAGAATCTTGGTTTTCTTTAACGAAGATAGTTATCGTTGTTTAGATCGAACTGAACTCTCGATACGCTCCGATCTTAGTGTAATACCAGCAGCATCCTGAAGCGATCCCGTAATCGCTATCTTAAGCTTGCACTCACCCAAATACGCTCCAGAGATATTGTGCACCGATAATGAACACCGGCATCTGAAGAATCGAACATGCTATACCCCAGCCCTCAACCCTCAACCCTACCCCGAACATCCCACACCTGCCCCGCTCCCTCCCCATAACCGCCACCAAACCGCGCCACAACGCCACCCGGAGCTTCCGCACCAACGTCAGCGTCACGCCCGGCCCGGGGACCGGAAATGCGGGGTGCAGCACGCACTCTATTTCCCCACACCAATCAATCGTGCAGGTACTATGATGCGCTGTATTTTGGGCCGGAGATTAATCGACGTCGGAATATGTAGTTGCTTGTTTTAACGTTTGGTAACTATTGATGCTGCGGCGGCCGCGTTTGTGGCGCTCACCATATGTCAATAGAACCCAGATCCGTCGGGGTATAATTTTGGTGTTTTTAATGTTTGCAGGTAGGATTTGGATTGATGACAGGTGGAGTTTGGAACAAACACTTGCGGCGACGATGAGGCGATGGTTCTGGCGGCCAACGTCATTCTCACTCCTGATAAATTAGTATTTCAAGCAAAAATGGGTGGCTATCCGGCATAGCGCAGTCACCCTCCATGTAAGCACTTTCTTTCCTCCACGAAAACCTACAGCCGCACTATGTAAGCACCCTCGCGGAAACATTTCCGCTAGCGTCAGCTCTTAGTTCCTACCAAACCGCCCACCTAACCCAGCTAGTCTTCGGAAAGCCCGACCTAACCTCTTCAAGGCTTGTCAGCACATCCAAATCTTGCACTGTCGTCTCGGGCGCAAACAAACCGATTGACGGGTGCGGCCCGATGATTCCTCGTGTGTGTGAGGTTTATTCTGGCGGGGACGGGGGAACGTTCCTGAGATGGGGTCTCTGGCAATGGGTGTGTTTGGACTGAGGGATAGTGCGAAGAGGAGGGGATTTTGATGTTGCTTTGTCTTGTACATTCCAACTTTCGGGAATTTGGAAGGAAATATGACTGATGATGCACTTTTGTGCGCTTGCAAGTTTGTACGAACCTGGTGACAAAAGTCATCGACCACCCAACCACCCTACCATGAGAATTTGTCTGTCTAAACTACAACGCTTTGCTTAATTACCCCTAAATTTTCAAAGTTGAACATTTCAAGGATAAAGCTCTTATCCACAGCAAGAAGACTGGAAATGTTCGCTTCGTTGCACTAAATATTCCAGTTCATTCACCCAGACTTGCATCCTCCCAAGACCTGAACAGCATTGAGAATTGCTGGCGTATCATAAAGCCAAGGACTAAGACAAGGAGATTCTTTCATGGTATAGTGGAAGAAATGAAGAAAGCCGTACAAGAGGAGTACAGTAAACTACAATAAAAGTGCTTCAAAAATGACACGGATTCAATGGCAGGTACAACCAAGTAGGTGAAGCAATTAAAAGCCTTATAAGGATAGGATCAAATGTCTGTATCTGAAATACTATATACTTGTTCAAGAAACCCATAAGTTAAGTTGCGTGTGGATAATTAACAGTTTTACATGGGGTGTCGGGTGGTCGACGATTTTTGTCACCAAGTTCGTACCATCATTTGAGATTTTTACTGACCTGACTACCTGAATGGCGAATGAACACTTCACACGGCCCATTTCATGCATCTAAACGTTACCATGCGAGAACTCACTGCGGCGGTAGGTACCATCAGCTATGTTCGGTGCAGTCTCTACAGTTTCCGTATCGTCCCTCATCCACTACAGAAACTCCACCACGGCCCTAGATCCCGTATCGGTCTTTCTCATCCCGAATAGGCTCCTCACGATCGTCCTCCATAAAACGCATGCTCCCCCGCCCTCCAACCGTTGCGCCCGCACCCACCTACGGCCTCCCACACACCCACATCCACTGCCACCATGCGCCTCCTCGCCCCCCTCCTCACGCTCCTCCCCCTCCTCCCCACCGCCCTCAGCGCCCTAACCTACAAAGCCTTCGACATCTCCTCCCTCCTCACCGAAGAAGACGCCAAACACACCACCTACCGCAGCACCGCGGGCGCCACGCAGCCCCTCGAAAGCATCCTCGCCTCCGCCGGCGCCACCAGCATCAAGATCCGCCTCTGGGTCAACCCCACCGACGGCATCTACAACACCGCGTACGCGCTGCGCCTCGCCAAGCGCGCGCGCGCCGCCGGCCTCGGCGTGATGCTGAACCTGCACTACAGCGACACGTGGGCGGACCCCGGGCACCAGACGACGCCGGCGGCGTGGAGCGGGCTCGGGATTACTGCGCTCGCGGCGCAGGTCAAGAGCTACACGACCGGCGTGATGAACACGTTCGCGGACGCAGGGGTGCCGGTGCAGATCGTCAGCGTGGGCAACGAGATCCGCGCGGGGCTGCTGTGGCCGCTCGGGAGCTGGGAGAACTTCGGCAACATCGCCACGCTGCTGAAGGCCGGCATCGACGGCGTGCGCGCCAGCCGCAGCAGCGCGACGCTGGTGATGCTGCACACCGACGAGGGCTACAGCCTGGGAACGCAGACGTGGTTCTACGACAGCCTGATCAGCGCGGGGTTCGCGATGGGCAGCTTCGACGTCATGGGCGTGTCGTACTACCCGTTCTGGAACGCGGCGGACAGCACGCTGGAGAACTTCCAGGCGGCGGTGAACGGCATGGCGGCGCAGTACGGCAAGCGCATTGTTGTGCAGGAGACGGACTGGCCGGCGGTGTGCTCGGACCCGGCGCAGATCCCGGCGAGTCTGCGCGGGATTGGGTTTAGTGTTGCGGGGCAGGTGGCGTGGATGAAGAAGGTGGCGGATGTGGTGAAGGCGATTCCCGGGGGGCTGGGGGTCGGCGTTTGTTATTGGGAGCCGGCGTGGATTAGCAATCAGGGATTGGGGAGTAGTTGTGAGGATAATACGCTGTTTTCGGGGGATTGGAGTAATGCGAATGCGCCGGT